CGTTAAAATTTCCTTAATTACCACTCAATCCAAGTTTATCATGTTTTTACAAAACAACCCCAAAATATAGGGTATTTGTGTAAGTAGCCCTATTTTAAATGCTTTAGCCTCCTGGGCTTTTGAATGGACTGCACTGATTATTTTTTATGGGCCATTGCAATTGCACATCTCTTCTAGAGTGGTGACCTTTATTTGGCCCGATTTATCATGTTTGGGCTATCTCCTATGGTAATCAGGGATCCCTGATGATGCAAATTATTCCAGAGATGAACCAGTCAACCCCCATGGCACACAAGTAAATATCAACAACTTATACAAAGGGAGTAATCTTTTTAATGATTCGGCCTTTATTCCTATTCTTACCTTTGCAGCCACAATTTCTTTTGCTCATGTCAAATTTACTTTGCATTCATGTTGGACTTGTTGTACAAGTTTTTGCAACCTTCTAGTGATACTAATCTTTCCTTATTTGCCTCATAGAAGGAAAGCAGAATCTTAAATGCTACCTGTCATTTGGTTTATACGACATTTTGCATAGGTTTGTACTTGGGACTCACTTCGTTTGGTAAAGCACTCTTATTAAATATAAACTATTTTCAACAGCAGGTGACCTCATGAGAACTTTGACGTTTACGAAGGGTTTAGTGCTTCAAGTAATTTCCAGAATATGTTTAAAGTTGGAGTGAATAACATGGCTGGGGTATTAATTGTGGTCTATTTGAAAGCCTATTGAATTAAATAGCATATATTTTAGTGTGGTTTTCTTGGAGGTTTATGGTGTCCAACAAGTTTTAATGTGGTCTACTAAAAGTCAATCGATTTGGACATCCTTTTCTAAAAAGCCATTAATTACTATCAAATCTAAATTTCATGCTATGTGCTGGGCAACCGATCTACGACAAATGATGTGGATGTGTGTATATAAAAGCTAATTCAGCCATTTTGTATTTCTTTAAAAGGCGATCGAAGGCCAATCTTCAACTACCTTTCGATCTTAGAATATGTTCATGTGTGGCAGGTTATATGTATACATATTGTGGCTTGTGAAGATAAATTCAACATTATGAGATATCTCATGTGTTCGATTAGGGACGGATTCAGAATTTTTTCTAGGGAGAGCTGAAAGTACTTAGCAAAGTCAATGTAGATAATTCATTAAAGAACATCATTTATTTAAGTCATTCCCGACGAGTATTTGAAACATAATATTCATCTATAATAAAATTTAGATCAATTTTCTCAATAAGTTCTCATCTATAGCCCAGTCCAGTCCCTCCCCAAATCCGTCTATGTGTTCGATAAGATGTCAGATTGAATTTTCAGCTCAAAAGCAGCCATGGGCGGCCCTTTATATAATAAGGGCATTACTTGCTTTGGGTTTTATTGCCACTACCACCTTCATTTCAAAGATTATTGTGAGTGGTCATTAATATATGGAAAATACTCGACCAAACACATAATCGTATCTTTGAAGGCGAGTCCTAGCTCGTAGTTTTCTTATTTATTGAAGGCAAGTCCTATCTTGTAGTTTCCTTATTATTGAAGACAAGCCCTAGCTTGTGAATTTCTTATTATCAAAGGTAGTATTTTGGAGTCCTCATTCATTGAATATAGGAAGAGGCGATATTTCGTAACATTTGCCCTTGAAAAAGAGCATCTTTGTAGGCTTGCCAGACGATTTTGCCCATGCAAAATGAGTCTTTCCTAACCTCATGACCAGATGTTTATCCCTTGTCTCGTGGGATGTTTATTCCTCTCGTCGCTAGATGTGTTTGTCCTTACAAAAGAAGCCTTCTCCAAGTTTCATCCACGAGATATTTATTCTTCGCTCTTTGAGATGCCCCGCCACGTGAAATGTTTATTCCTTGCTCTTTGAGATGCCTTGCCACGCTAGATACTTATTCCTTGCTTTGCAAGATGCCTTGCTACATGAGATATAGATTTCTTGGTTTCGTGAGATGTTTATTCCTCACCTCTAAATATCGTCGAGCACAGTTATAAGACCTCGTTTGTCCGAGGTTACTTATAAATCTCCAATAGTTTGAGAGAGCCATCAACTAGATATTTATTCCTCACTCCGAGAGATGCCTTACCATACAAGATTTGGATTTTTTTACTTCACGAGATGCTTAATCCTCTCCCCTTACCATCTTTAAGCCCAGCTATAAGATATCGTCCGTTCGAGGCAATCTTATGTGTCTCTTATAGTTCAAGATGAGCCACCAGCTTGATATTTATTCTTGGGTCTTGGAGATGCCTTGCCATGTAAGACTACAGCAGAGAGCTCATCATGCTCCGCGTCGACAACATCATAACTACATTTATCTACAGAATGCTTATCTTGCATCCGCAATGGCTATATCATGGCTACATTTATCTTTAGAGAGCTCATCATGCCTTTGTTATTAGCTGCATTGCAATTATATTTATCTTCAGAAAGCTCATAATACCTCTGCATTAGCTATATCACAGCTTTATCTATCTTCAGAGAGTTTATTATGCCTTTGCATCATTGTATTACAACTGAAGTTATCTTTAGATAGCTTACATTATCCCATACATGGTTGAACCATTCACCATACAGGAAGCTCTTGGCATGGATGAACCATCTACCATGAAAGGATGTCATTTACCGCTTCATAAGAAAAGGGGTGGGGCCCATCTTAATACCTACAAAGACGAAGCCTCCCACAGCTGAACCATCTACCTAGGAGAAGCCCTGGCCCTGGATACACAAACCTCATGCAATGATGTCCACTACGAAAGGAAAGGTGGAAGTAACTCTACAAGGTCCCACCTCCGACACCTACGAAGATGAAGCTTCCCACATCTGAACCATCTACCTGGAAAAAGCCCTTAACATAAATGCACCACCCCCATCAAAGGATGCCAGCTTCATAATAGTTGTTTACATTTAATTTAGAGTCTGCCTCTACATCAACTTCATCACCGCGTTTATATCCAGTTCAGAGTTTCCTCTACATCAGTATTAGAATAGCTAATTATATTCAGCTCAGAGTATCACCTCTTGCTCACCTTATCACATATGCTTACATTCAAACTATCACCTCTACATGAGCTTATCATAGATGCTTATATTCAAAGCATCGCCTTTGACTCGGCTTATACAACGACTTACATTCAGGGCATTGTCTCTACCTTAGCTTATCACAACTACTTACATTCACATTATTATCTCTGCATCAACTTATCACAGTTGCTCACATTCAAAGCCTCGCTTCTGCATCAGCTTCATCACAACTTCTTATATTCAGAGTCTTGTCACTGCATCAGCTTCATCAAAGCTATTTATATTTAGAATTCATCATAGCGACTTATATTTAGAGCCTCACCTCTACACAAGAGTCCATGCATTATATGAATATTCATATATGAACTTGAGGGAATGTTGTGATACTAGTGCCTTAGTATCATTACATTATTACTGCCAGCATATGCATTATATTATTGTTGTTAAGTACGCATGCCACATCATTGT